TATAGTACTGACTGCACAGGGAGCATTATGCTATATTCACTCACTTCTTAGTTCTAGTTAGATAGCTCTTTAACTCCGACTTAAAACCCTCACTATTATGGCCGATGAGATAGGGGAAGAAGAAGAATGCCCTGTATATCTAGTCTAGACTAGCGTCCCTGCACGTTCCTATTCCACATGTAGTCAACACGGCCCCTTGCATAGATAGCCTAGGCTCCTATGAATAGAGTGAGTTGGAGGTTGGAAGCGATCTTGCAGGATCGCAACACATGGTAACCGATCGAGCTGATATGCAAGCATGGGGTCTTCCTGGACAATAGGTGAAGAAATTATACCCAGGTATGGCCGATGCAAGCCAGATTTCTACTTACCTGCCTCTTATCCAAAGCAGTGAAAGCAAACTGAATCTCGCACTGGACGATAGTTAGATAGATGTTGGGGGCAACTGATGGATTGATAAGCATACGACTGGGCCGCCACGCGATTCGCACGCATTGCATTTGCAAACGCCGTAATTAAAGGGATCCCAACTCCTGCGCTGGAGATTCAGTCTATGCCACGAGGGAAAAAAACCAATACCAACAGTCAGGGACGATACCGAATGTCCAGGATTCCCCTTGTCTATTTACAAAAGGACCTTTCTCCACCCTCCCCTCCCCTCCCCTCTCGGCGCCGCCCGCCCGACCGTGTCCGGGTTCACGATCCTGCGAGGTAAGCAAGTTGAGCCGGGACCTCACACACATCTTCCGCGTACGCATAGGTGGTATACTGCGTACTTCTGTCCTTAGCGTGTCAATGGCGTAGATAGCGTCCGCCGCAAGCTTCTGCTTTAGTTTGTATACTAGACCCGAGTTGCAGAACGGAATCATTCCCGCCATGCCGTATCTAATTCCGATGGAGTGAATTCCGGTATGATCTTCTGGGGGAAGGGGGATTCCTCGGATCAGATAAAAGATATTCCCCAACCGTTAGATGTTTCCATGATATAGACCCGGGATTCACGCCCCCCCTACGCTACGCGTCGAGTGACAGCCAATCGACTATTCGCACCACATCGGTGGAAGAGTTTCAAGTCGTAGTTTCACGTCGTAGATACCACAGTACTGTATCCTTTGCAACACTCCTACATGTTAGATGATGTCATCAGGATGGAAACGTCGGGGATCACGAGCAGGGCAGTGTAAAGGAGCTCGTGCCACGAAAAGAAAGACGAGACTTGAAGAAGCCATCGAAGCACAAACTCCGCTGAGACATATAAAGCCTATAAATGAACAAAAACCCACGCGCACAGTTCCGCTCTTGTTCTATTTTGAAATATGCCTACCTATCTATCCTTCCAACGACGCCACTACTATGAATAAGGTAGAATCGTGAGATGAACCGGCCACGACGCGCCGCTGCGGCATTGGCGTGCGGATTGCGGAGTTCATGATATCGCCCGATATGACACGACGCTCTTCCAAGCCCGTCACAACCGACGTTACACAGCAGACAGAAAACTGCTTACGCGCCTATTAATAAGGACGGAATAGCATAAAAAAGGCTGTTCCAGTCTGCTGCGTCCTCAGAAACTGTAGCTGTGCGGCACAGCCAGCTATCTTGTCTTCTGCTCTGCTTTGCTTGCCAGCGAGGCCTAACCGGCGACTGGCTGCGCCGGGGAGGCAGAACGGAAACTCTCCGTCGTTCGATCTTTCAACTCGTTTACCCTGCCAGCTTCATTGGCTTTCTAGGAATATTTCACACCCAAATCCATCCAAAAGTCCGAAAGAGCCAGGGAATCCGAGAGTGAAATTGGGAGTATGGTTATTAGCGAGGGACGACATTGCCTTTATCATATCATCGAAACTAGGGGTTACTCGTCTTCTGATATACTTGGGTGATCTATATACCTCTTAACTTAGTGAGTATACACCAATACGTCGGTACGGTTTAATCGGTTACCAAAATGGAGGGAAATAACTAGGATCTGTCGAGCGATATTCAGCGTGCAAAGGAACTTCTATGTGTGGTAGCTATCTTCGACCAATCGTTTCCTGGCTCTCAATATACAGGCCGTGACGGGCGACATGTACCCGGCGATTGCACGATAATTCATTTGACCAGTCCATATAGGATAGATACACTGGGTATGTATGGCTTTGATTATATTAGGTGTAGTATTGACTGCGATCGACCTATGTAGGTAAAACGTGCGGGATGTACTATGGAATCCAACGCCAGTCTATGCATCATTATTCATTAAGTAAATTACTCACTAATTTAGCGTCCCTATTCCTGTCTCGCTGTCCTTCAATCAATTCGCCTCGGGGCGTACTCCTCATTTATAAAATAACTATAGCTCAAGGGATGGGTCGTCGAAGCGGATGGGCTTCTGTATTAAGGACGAACTCATCTAAGTTTATAAGGTCTGGTGATGAGAATATCAAGTAGAGATACCGCAGAGTCTCGGCCAGCCAGAAACTCTACACGGCTGTTAGTAGACTAGTCATGACGGGGTAGTATATGTGTATCGGAGAGAGAATTTACTGACCTCCATTGAATTGGTCTTCACCGTGTCAGTCACCTCAACGGACTGAATCGACGAAAAAGCCAGGTCGGTCTCAGTCGCCTTGCGAATCGCCTGGAACATAGTCCATGCCATGTCCTGATACTCACTATCCCCCGTCATACGGTACATGAGGAATACGCTTTCAATAGCCTCGGGCCGAAGAATATAACGGGCATCTGACACGTCTTGAATTCCCTCTTTCAGATTCGTATTGCCGACAATCTCCCATTCTTCCTGGTTCCACTCACACGGATCTAAGCTCTCGCATTTGAGCAGGGTGAAGACCTCAGGCATAATACCGGCCGGCATAGCGTCGTATGCCCACACGCAGCCCTTCGTAACCTTTTCGCCTATTGTAATATGTTCAGGAATCTGAAAAAGCTTTCCGCCGAGCCCAAACATCCCACCGACGAAACAGCAGAGATGTTGGGTTTGGGCGGTTAGACTCGGACCTTGATCCGAGACCCAGACGTTACCCGGAAACAGAATATCGGATTGGTCCGGTAACTTAGGTCGAAATAAAATATTCTCGATCACCGTATCCATCGCCCCGCGGTACAACTTTTCATACACTGGCTCGAGACCACCGAGTATAGCGAACGTTTTGGGAAGATATTCATAAAGACTATCGGCGGATGCACCTAACGTGAAGCTGTCATCTGAATCTAACTCTATGTGTTGTAGGTCGAAATAGGTCGGCCACATTCCAGGAAGACTCGTCTTGTTTTGCCATTCGTCTAGGACTTGTGTTACTCTATTTATCGCATCATAATACTTGTTGTCGCCAGTCAGCTGCGTTAGGCGCGTAAATTCAAGGGACGACGATGCAGCGGCGGCTGATGGAACACGGGTCCCGGCCACCTGCTTCCCTGTTTTGGCGTCTTGGAAGTCCAACCAGAAGCCAGGCATGCGATTCGGGGTATCATATGCCATATAGAGCATGTCACCAAGCTCGACCGCCTTCTCCAGCAACGCCGTCTCCAGGCTTAAGTCGTAGGCGCTGAGTAAACCGCCGAGGTGCCGTATGGTGATTTCGAAGTAGTTACAGGACGTGTCGTCTGTCTTAGAATAGTCTATGGTGACGGCGGCGGCCGCCGCCTCGTAGAACTCGTCCTTGAGGTCCATTATCCAAAGGGTCGACAAGGAATCCACGAGGGTTGCCCCCCATCCGCCAAAGCCAACCTCGTCTTGACCCCCTCCAGACACGGGTAAAAGGTCGTCATATCCGAAGCCGACGTTTTTGTAGCTGGTCCAGCTCTTCATAAATGCCTCTTTCACCTCGTTGCGCCGGGACGCTAGGACGGCCTCCCGCGCAACTCCCTCGGGGCTTTTGTCTTCCACGAACGCATATTGCACTGCGGGTAGCGATAGGGGCCGGCCGGTCGGTAAGGGAGTGTATTCGGACACGGGATAGAACAGCTTCTGTTTGGACCAGTCGTAGCGATCATGGACGTAGGTGAACCCCCAGAGCACATCGCTATTCTCGGGAACGAGGGCGACAAGAAGGTAGACCAGGATGACCAGCAGCAGCGCGACAACTACCCGTGACTTGCGACGCAGGATCGGGGTCATGGCGTCGAGGGGCCGGTCTCGAATCTGCCATGCGACATCTTCGGCAAGCATGGGCAGAGCTCCTCTGTCACCCGAGCCTGGCTGCTTGCGGATCCTGTCAAGCCGGATGTGTCGCGTCTCGTTCCTCCCACAGTGCCGCCGTATCGGATGCTGGCAGACGAATGTTGCCGGGGCATCGATGCGGGATAGGGTATGATTATATGATTATTACACTATATGTAGGTATTATTTTATGAGCGGCGTGGATAAAGAGATAGCCAGACACCGTCAGACGGGGTCTGAGGGTGTGTAGCGTAGCACCTAAACAAACAGGGTATGTTTATGTTGTAGTAGTGTAATAGTGCGTACAACAGGTACAGGTATAAAGGAAGCCAAGAAATGCCCTCAGGATAGAGGTAGAACTAAGTAAGCTCCGTTGGGGTTAGCGGAGATTGGAGACAGGGAGAGCCATGGTTAATATATTAACGTACACGGGGGCTACCCACCACTATGTTATAGCGCCCGCCTTAACTAGCTTTTAGCACTCTCCACCTCACATCCATTCATAGGTATCCATTCACAATACCTAACTCTGCCCAAAAGATAACGGTATCTAGCCTAGAGTGAGACATTTTCCTCCTTCTATACACAGCAAAAGCTGCGATTTTCCGATCTGACATAGTGACCATAGGGCCATGCTAAAATCCCGATGTAGACCTAGGTAGATACGCATGCTAAGAAGGATCTCTCCATGTGCCCTCAACTTGTACTTGTACGTGAAATGTGCTATTAGAAGTTATAAGAACCAAGTGACGCGAATGGCATCTGAGTCCTATCAATTTCGCATGAAACTAGAGTGTTGAAACATACGCAGCCACTCCTATTAAAACTAAATGGCTGGGGGCGCATGGTCTAGTGGTATGATACTCCCTTCGCATTTCTGGAACTCAGATCATAGTGCTTGGGAGGGGTCCGGGGTTCAATTCCCTGTGCGTCCACAAGTTCTTTTTTTTCCGTTGTGCGAGAAATTCCAGCAGCTGGACATTTCGGCCTTATAACCCCCAACAAATTGGGACTTGATGGCTTTGCTTAGATTGCTAGTTATATTTAAGGTACTGTTACTTGTCGTTATAACAGAAGGACAAGGGCTAATTTTGCCTAGAGTTATTTTCCAGTCGGGAGCAAAATAACCCTCCCATTGAGCAGACATGAAACTATATCTTCATCTATACATCATCCTCAGATCCACAACATCCTTCACCTCCGTATGTTAGGCCGTTGATTAATACATATATCGTCTCATGTCGTCATAGTTTTTCTAAGTACACTCCTACCATGACTAGTGTGTAGTTCCTGAGGAATAGGCGCAACTTAGGAGCACAAAGAGGCATAAAGGGGCGAGCCGATCCATATGGGAATACAGTAGTATGGGTCTTCAAAAAAAAAACCCCAATATTACTCTGGATCTGAAACGACCATTGGAAGGTCCTCCACACTATCTTCTATCTGCAGCCGGCGAAGCTGGTGGTCGAGTGGGCTTGAGCTGTCGTGACCAGGAGGGTGTCTATCCCGGGCCACCAGCGTGCAATAGCTGGACAGCATATCGCTCTTGCCAGGCTGCTCAGTGCCACAGAGCGCTCCCCTGTTTTCGGAGACGGTGGGAGACTTGGCAGTCGCACGATGGCTGGAGGCTTGTGTTATAGACCCAGTCCTCTCTTGCTCGACGATGCTGTGAGGCGGGACGCCGAACGGGTAGTAATATGGAAGGTGAGGATACAGTGGCATATTGTGGTTGAGAATAATGTCCACGTCCAAGTCCTTCTGCATAGGGAATAGATGAGAGGAGCTAGCATAGCCGCGGTTCTTGCTATCGTAGGAGGCCTCCGTGCGCAAGTTTCTTCCAAGCTCTTCAAGGCTACGAGCTATCTCTTCGGCTTGAAATGCCAACTGCTTGAGCTGGACTGGGACGGTATCACCCGTATTCGCATTGTCACCTTCAACAGTCTGCTCGAGCATATTCATCTTCGCCAACGACTTTAGATCTGTGGAGATCATTCTCAACACGCGGTACATACTATCCATATTTTTGCCTGTCTGCGGTCCCATTTGCAGCTCTGTCCGCTGAGCTGCAGCCAGAGCATGTTGCAATTGGACGAGTTCTACCCCAAGGATCGAGCTGATTCGTTTTAGGATTTTTTGACATTGTGGCTGGAAAAATCGAGATTGTTGATCAATGTACTCAACGATGGTCCGGCGTGCCTTGGCAAGTTCTGCGACGTTTTCAGGTTGTCGGAAAAAATCGTCGGGGTCTTCGACAGCTAAGACACGCTGAAAGGCTAAAAACACCTTCATCTCCATTGTTTCGTTTTCTGGTTTTTACTATAACTGTCTGACGGTTTGTGTTCTAAAATTTCGGTAGGTAATGAAGTCGCCAACGGGAGATGAGTTATCAGTCGAGGATAGAAGTCAAGTAGCTACCCTTTTCTACTGCGGGGGAGGACACAGGCCTGCAGCAAGCATATACATAGTTTAAATTTAAGGTTATAAAGGAACCTTTTGCAGGCGCTCTCGAATGGCGCAGCCCTTGCTGTCAGAGTACCCCGAGAGTCGGATTCACGTTGTCGACGGGGTGCTTGCTGGACCTACATCTACTCGCACGTGTTTTAGCACCGGCAAGAACATCGGGTCATGACGAAGTGCCCACAGCCTTGAAAGTTATCTCCGTATCTTCTGACTGAGTTGGGAAGTATAAAAATATAATACCGCAAGCTATAATGTGGCTAGTAGGTTTAGCTGCAACGTTGACGCTCTGTTCGTTGCTGTAATGTTCACTCTGTTTCCACGATAACGACGGGTGGATTTACTTTCAAAAGAGTATATAATTCCGAAATAAAGTCTATTGTATATTTGCATTTGTGTTGAAGTGCCTATGAATTAGAGAGTTTGCATTTCGGCCACTTATTTACACCCTTTTCTTATAGTGTGGCTTTGAAGGGAGTTGCTTTACTAGGCTAAACTGTGAACGATAAACTTTCGAAATACATTCATTCCATCCTGTGCAAAAAGAACGGTAACTATTATGACAAGTGAATCGTCGCATTGTTAAATAGCTCGAACGCTGCAATCTATTAAGCTGGTATATAGTTACGGGGACAGAATGGTGAGAGCTATCATTTTATGATGTAACAAGTAGCTGACTGTGACCGCAGATTAAACCAAGCCTATGTTCTTTTTTGGAATATCAGTAAACCTACAGAGTTATATAGATGCGAGGAATGATCTCTGCCCCTCCTCTTGTTATTTTATAGAACTCGGGGCCCGTTGGTGATCCGACAGAGGCAAGGCTCTCTGGGGAGCATATTTTTCTCGAGGAGCTATCTTCTGGCATATCCTTCGCCTCCTGAAACTCAGCTATGTAGTCTCTACTCGACCATTAGTAGGGACACTGATCGTAGGCAGCGCTGTAGTACGTAAGGTAAGAAATCCCAATCATCAAGCTGATACTCTGTCTCAAGACAACATGTCGCTTTCCTCGTAGTGGAACCGCGTCCATGCTACGACTTGAGGAAATTTCCTGCTCGCGATGCGTCAGCAGCGCCATCGCTATTTAGGCCTAAGATATGTCTCGACCACACTGCTGTGATGGACTTGGCATGCAGCAGTATCAGCAAGACGGCATAGATGACCAACAAGCAACTCGATCCACAAAGTTATTGTGCTCAAACCGCCCATTTCTTGTGTACCAATCTCAAGCTAAGCATACGGAACGCTGGTCCTGTATTCAAACGCCCTTGTAAATGTCTGGTGTGTCTCTATGAGTAGCCTACCCTCGTGATGGAATCGAGCAGGCTCGCCATCTAGCGCTTCTTAGCAGAGCGCATTTCCTCAAACGATTTGATAATTATAATAGACTGTGGATGCACTTAGATTAGGGGAATCTAAGGTGATTGCGGAGGTTTACAGAGCTTGGCCAGTTGCTAAACGATGATGTACCTAGATTGAAGTTAGCACTGGTGCTCAGAGAAGATTACCCCTATGTGGCAGATGAAGAACGCACGAATAAGCGGGACTCTGATGGCATACCTAAGCATGTGTCTAGCTATGGAGTTTAAATACGATAAGAGAGGATTGAAGGAGAATGCGATATGTGTCGAATATGCCACGTATATAGATGATGGTACACAGCATACTCAGCCAGTTCCTCTCAGGACATACAAACACCCCCCATTCATCACGTTCTCTCTTCTCTGGACTATTTAACTACTTCTCAACGACGTTAGAGCATGCGGATATATTTTTTTCTTAATACTCGCCTTTTTAAATATGAGCCATCAATTTAGAAGACAACCATATCTCGATCGAATAAATCAGCAGCGACGACAACATTATAAAGACTCCACATATGTTATATAATTAACGGGGTCGTAACTAATGGATGTGTTACCTACCCCTCTCCTAATATCGTGCAGCGCTTCCATTGTAGCTTTCCTCCTGCTTTACATCGGAGTTAGACTCTCGCTCCTCGGCGCTTTGGATATGTACACATCTATTCGTAAAGCGTTCTCTTATCCAGCTTTCCCGTACTTACCCTGTTTGCCTACCTATAATCACGCCTTGACCGAAGAGACTCATGGATCCTTCTCGACCGTGTCTCCAGATGCCACGGTGCCGTGGGGTGGATATCGAAGAACTCTCGATCACCCAACTGCAGAATCACTTAGAGGCGAGGACTTTCACATGCAGAGACTTGGCACAGTGCTATCTCAAGAGAGTTGAACTAGTCAATCCGCATATCAAAGCTGTGATCGAGACAAATCCCGACGCCTTGGAAATCGCCGATGAACTAGACGCCGAGCGCGATGGGAATGGCATAACGAGGAGTAAAATCCACGGAATCCCGTTCTTCGTGAAGGACAATATCGCAACAAAAGATAGGATGCAGACAACTGCCGGATGTGCCGCACTTTTCGGCACGATAGTCCCCAACGATGCAGCAGTGGTCGCACGCCTACGAGCAGCTGGTGGCGTGCTCCTTGGGAAAGCGAACTTGTCGGAGTGGGCATCTATGCGAGCCAGCTATTACTCCGAGGCATATTCTTCCCGGGGAGGGCAGAACCGGAACCCCTATAATCTTGCGGAGCATCCCGGAGGCTCAAGTTCTGGACCTGCAAGCGCCGTCGCCGCCAACATGTGCGCTTTCGGGATTGGCACCGAGACAGATGGCAGCGTCATTTTCCCAGCTGACCGTAATGCTATAGTAGGCATCAAGCCGACTGTGGGACTTACGTCAACCCTGGGTGTTATTCCGGAGGCTCCGAGCATGGATACAGTGGGAACTTTCGGGCGGTCGGTAGAAGATGCGACGATAATTTTGGAGATTATTGCGGACAGGAGCCCAATTCCTGATGGCCAGGTCGATATTAACGAGTCATCTACTGCTCAAAATGACAGAACCAAAGACTATACATCGTGGCTTGCCAAAAAGGATGCCTTGAAGGGCGCGAAGTTCGGGCTGCCGTCGAAAAGGGTTTGGGATGCAGCAAGCAACAGCGTACAGTATAAATCAGAGTACCTTGCTCTTAAGAAACTCATAGAACAGATAGAAAGAGCCGGTGCGCAAGTTTTCGACGTGGATTTCCCTAGTGCTGAGGAGATTATATCTCCCGATGGTTGGGACTGGGGGTACGCGGCCGGCGAGTCTGGTTCTCAGCTGTCTGAATTTGAAGTCGTCAAGGTGGAGTTCTACCGGAGTCTTTCGAATTACTTGAGTACACTCAAGAATAATACGGAGAGAATCCTGTCGTTGGAAGACGTGGTTGCCTATAATATCAAGCATACCGACACAGAGGGAGGCGTTCCTGGTACTCACCCAGCTTGGCCGACAGGACAGGATAATTTCGACAGATCCATTGAGTCGAAGGATGTCGACGAGGCAGTATATTCCAAAGCTCGTGAGTACATTCTGAGGAAGTCTCGGGACGAAGGTATCGATGCGGCG